TGCATTTGAACAAAAAAATGTTATTGATATGTCAATACAGATTGATTTGAATATAATCGTCTCCTTCAAAGAATACGGTTCAAAACCTGCATTAAATAAAGGTTAATACTTAACCTGTTATTTATCTAAGATGTCGTTCAGAAGAGTTTCGTGACTGCCAATGGAATACAAAGTCAATAATTCGTTTTTCTGATTTACCTATAATTGTCCAAAAGTCACATCGCCGGCTTTGATAATAGTCGACTCAAATATAGATTAAAAGGCTAGAAGCAAGCACACCATTTTGCTTTTATTACTATTAAGTAAGACAACTTTTAACATGCTAAAGATTCTTTTAGAGATTTCTGAATACGTTTGGTCACTCCAATTTGTGGTAAACTTGCCCCTATTTTGTTTTCCTAGAATGTAATATGCACTTCCTTATTTAGAGAAATTGCGAACAGCGCCATCTAGGCTTCGTTCAATTACATTACGATTTAAGGAAGGTGGGTTTACTCACGTCGCTAACAGATGTCGCTGTGCGATGTTGTGTTATGGCGGCTTAAGTTTAAATTTATTAATTCACCTTTTATATAAATACATGTGAATTTTGTATAGCAAAATTGTTTTTGTATACAAAGCCTTGTTCGTCAATTAAACATAGCTTAATTTGTTTTACAGTGATTCAGTAGAGCAGACAAGCCCACAGCCCACTTAGTACTAAGTGATTACCACCATGGCATTAACAACATGAATGCTGCTACCCTCCTTGAGTCATGGAGTTGAAGTCTGATTTGTATTTTAAACCGGCTATTCAGCTATTCGAACCATAAAATAGACTAAGAACTATTAAGATGGAAATTTAAATGACGTAGAAGGATAGATGAGCTGACAGCCCACATGGTGTTAAGTTCACATATTGAATGTCGTCGTCCTCATTAAGACCAAGTTGATATCCTAATTGCATTGGAATTACGGTTTTTAGGCTTCGCAAGACTGCTTTTAACCCAGACATACCTATTTAAATGTAACGGTAGTACCAACTCTGGCTGGATCACAACAAATACCAGTTTTTTTTTTTTTTTTACTAGTATTTACGCATCACGGTTACTTCAGATGAAATCCATGTAGTAGATATTATTGAATAATATTTAAATCTGCTGGAGAAGATCGAACTACGGCATAATCGCGTCTAGTTCCAACTGCGCCTTACCCATTAGAGGCTAATGATTAGACCACAGTTAGTTCCGCTCCGTTAAGTGTCAATTACAATTAAAACAAACAAAAACATAACGTTGTTATATAGTCACTGGGCATACGTCTTATTGTATGTGTTTGGGACAAGTGTGTAAAACATTTTACTGACCAATAAAATTAAGCGTGTCGATTGCAACACCATTCATTACCGATAGATATTCTTAATAACATTCCATTTGTAATATATAACTGTACTGACATATTAGGAGTTTACACGAATAAAATAGTAATTTGTTTATGTGAACTGTACTGTATAGATTACTGTAATCTGCTTTAGTTAGGACTAGCGACCCGCCCTCGCTTCGCTTCGGAAACATTAAATTTTATTATTAATAGCTGAGTCCCGCGATGCTACCCGCGGGTACTGTCGTACCGCGGGTGACGCCGCGGAGCGAAGCTAGTCTAAAAAAAGTTCCAGAGATTAGCTGGAACAAACAGACAGACAGACAGACAAAAATTGTAAAAAATGTTATTTTGGTGTATGTACCGTATATATATTCATATGCATGTAGTAAAAAGCGGTTATTTAAATATTATAAACAGACATTCCCATTTTATTTATATGTATAGATGGATAGAATAGGATAATTATAAAACCAGGGACTGATTTTGTGATAGCAGATCGGTCTACGCATCCATCAGTATTGGATGATACCATCATTCTCCATGACAAGAACCCCGTGAAGGCAGAAAAGGATAAATTAATTAATTTAGACCTTGACGAGACTACCGCCATGCAGCATGTCGATTCAACCATAATTGTTCCGGTAGTTGTGTCAGTGCACTGTTTGATACCGAAAACTTTTGACCAACACCTTAAGGAATTTTCATTAACCAACTGGCTTAGGAGCTTTTTTAAAAAAACATCCTTATACGGTTGATATGGTGAGGAGATTTCTTACTCTGTAGCCCTAACACAGTAAGCAAATCCTGTAGGCGATATCTACGACGCAAGCCACCAGCGGCAATCTATTTTTTTTAATAGTGTTTATTTTTAATAAAATAAATCAGGTTCCTACAGGAACAAGTTACTGCGATGCATACTTACGTATATAGATATCAAACACAATAAAATTGGATGTTCGTCACACGAATGTTTGTTCGATATGGGGAATCGAATCCACGACTCTGGGCACAGAAATCAGAGGCGCTAATTATTGCGCCTCCGAATCACTCAAGTAATGACATACAAATAAATTTGAAAATTATAATTCAGTAGAAGTATGAATTCCAATTAGAAGGATGAATGACCTATCATGTTTGCGACTGTTTACGGGTACAATAACAAAAAAAATGCACACGTAATGCTTCCCGGCACGATCGTAAACTTGCCGGAATAACACGGATCTATAATACGCACTCGAGCTTAGGATATAATCTTGAATAATCAGGGGAAATATACGATTCAATTGAGTAATATAAAAGTGTAACACGTGTTGTGTGACTGAATACTGTAAGTGTAGAGTGTAGAGGTTAACGAAAGAAGTTTACGTTATTGTATTTAAGTGACCAACTTCAAACCGCCTATTATTGTGTATACTTCATTTATTTTTCCAGTATCATGTAAATAACTACTAGACTAATTTTGAAAATACTATTTTTTAAGCGACAAGCTCTTATATATTTTAGAAATACGGTAATTAATACAAAATGCATACATCTGTATACAATAAAAGTTCAGCATCCATTTGCGGGTATAAAGTTTTAGGAACTTGAATGACATAATTATAAATAAAAACATTGGATTGTCTTATCTTATAATAACAAAATATGAATACCATGCAATACTGTACAGTATTATAATTTAACTTTTCTGGAAAATTGACTGTGTAACTCACTTACATGTTCTTTGAGGGAAACGTTTGCAGTTGCATTAGCAAAGACTAGCCGACAATGAAACGCATTATTGGTCTACAAGCGAGACGCAAGATGCGTGTTTGTATAACTGTCTGTCTGCTTGGGCGTTCACTTGACCGTCCACACAGTTAGATAGCAAACACGGTCCCTCTACGAACTGTGTTAATTTGTTCTGCATAGCTATTGCATCTCCATCGCGGTGATATCACTAGTGTGTTTGATTTGCCACTGAGATTCGAGATCACGCGATAATCAACTTGATTCGGGCTTGTTTTGAAGTAAACACATGAATATTGCCTGCTTGCCCACGACAACTTTAAATTGCTGTCGATTGATAGCACTTGTTGCTATAGAATTATAATGGAATAAATATTACAACGGCCTTAACCTATGATTCCCTTCAGTATTTTCTTGTGTATACCATATCACTAACCATTAATCAACGAAATGATCGCGCTGAAAATAATAGGATTTCAAATCTATACATATAAATAAAATTGAAGTGTCTGTTTGTAATATTGAAATAACGGCTTTTTACTACATGCATATGAATATGTACGGTACATACACCAAAATTATTTTTTTTACAATTTTTGTCTCTCTCTGTTTGTTCCGCCTAATCTCTGGCACGACTGGACCGATTTTGACGGTACTTTCACTGATAGGTAGCTGATGATATAAGGAGTAACTTAGGCTAAATTTTTATTTAATTATGTTTTTTTTTTATTGCCCTTGTAGGCAAACGAGCACACGGCCTACCTGATGGTGAGTGGCTACCATCGCCCATGGACTTCAGCAATGCCAGGGGCAGAGCCAAGCCGCTGCCTACGGCTTAATACTCTCCACAAGCCTCGTTTGAAGAAGGACATGTCATAGTCATTTTATAGAGTAATACTAAATTTTAGTAGTTTCGATTTTAATTGCTGCGTTTTCATATTATTCACTGTTTCTCTGTCACTGTTCTTGAGTCTCCGCTGTTTCTGTATCTTTTTTCTATTCGTTCAGCTTTAAATCCCTAAGCACAAACGAGCGTTTTATTTGTTTAACCGTACGTTTGTTATCTCGACACAGTATTGTTTCAGTCAACACTATATCTCCCATTTTGGAGTACCTTAATTGAGTCGGTTGTGAAACCTCACGGAACTGGTAACTAACGGGATTATATTAATTTATGTAAACTTCTCCTTTGCTCATTTCACCACGAATTGTTTTGTCATTACTTTTATTTATTTATTTACTTGTCGTTGCAAAATTCCTTAGATCTTTCATTTCTGATTTGTAAACTGTACGACTGACACTAATAGTTAAAGCGGAAGGGTACTACTATTTTATCACTTTCTTTTTGTCGAAATTCTATTTTTTTTTTAATCGGTTTAAGTTTTTTATACTAAAGACGGTTCTGCCTACACTTGTACGTATTAGTAAAATGGACAACTACGAAAATATTGAATAATATTTTCTAAAACATGTCCGAGTTAAAAATGTCAAATTCATATTTATATAATAAAATAAATGTATTAGGTACATTAAAAAAAACACTCAAAGTAAGAAAGCACACATCGTAAACATCACTAAAAGGAAAGTAATTACAAAAAAACAAATTACTGATGATCGGCTTTTTTCCTAAAACGGATTTTACACATTTACATGGAATTCAAAATTACCTAAATCGCTGAATACTAGGGGCTATCTATTATAGATATACTCATTTTTATAGTCATTCACATTTTTTGTGAACTTCCACGTTCGTATCTGAAACCAATCTGAGTTTTCCGATAGCGTAATTTGAATTTTCATAACCACTCCCTTTCTTTATTTTATATTTTTCTTTTAAACCCTCACGATTAACGCAAAATCACAAAACTTAAAAATAAAATTACTTGGAATATTTCGACAGAATGAGTAGCCCTTATATGTATGTAGTTTTGGAGAATGGACGTCCATAGCATTTTTTGTTGTCAAGGCCTTTGTAAGTAAATTATGCTATTAATAAGAAAGAAATAATTTAATCTAAATATTTTCTATTTTCCATTTCACATAGTCTGAAACAATTGAATAAAAATGTTGTATACAATATATATTGTTATGCGCGCTACACTTTACTACTAATTCACGGACTACGTAATCCATACCTTTGCTACTTGAAGGAAATAAAGTACAGGATTATAATGAGGTTTTGTGATGGCTGTTTAAAAGCCAAGATGACCTTAATCCATTAACTCTCCATATTTCATCTAAACGTCAGTCAAAATATTTAGCTTTCACAATAGAAACGGTACCGACTTTGAAACAGCTAATCCTGTATTTGATAAAACAGCGGGAGCCTTACATGAATACTTGATTCTTTATCTTTACGTTTATTTATTCTTTCTCTCGAGGCTAAACCTTTACCGTTTCCGCGGAGGCAGATTCCGATCCTTTATCCCTCGGTATTTGGTCATAAATAAAAGTTTTTTTTTCCTTTTTGAATAATAGTTGTATATTACCTTAATGGCAATCGGTAGGTGTAATATGATATCTTTCATGGGTTCTACAACTGTTTTTACGTTATGATCAATTTATTAATACTGCTCCCCGACATTTCATACAGACTTTTCTAAATGGGAATCGTATGTGTTTTAGTCCCTCTGGATATCGATTGTTATACACACGTGTAAGTGTAGTTATTAAGTACGCAATGTTCTTGTGTAAGCGCACTAACATGAGCAAAACCAACGTATACAATGGGCGCCAGACATATCGCATTATGTCAATCTAAAGATTTCAACGGGGCGGTGTTTTCTTAAGGGAATAAAGTTTAATGTTATCACTTGTCTTAACGTACACCATAATGTTTTTCAATGAAATACATTCCTGCATGTACATTACACACGTGTACATGTGACGAGGCAAACGATACAAAACAGCTTTTTTCTTTTCGTTTTTAACGTTGCGCGTTTTGTTTTCGTTGCTTTTACAGCTAGTATAGTGACAAATGGCGCTGATACTCTTTATCTTATGACGCTTACAATAAATACATCTTATCCCATGAAATGTATTATTATAATAAATAAAAATATTTTTAAAAGGTATAGGTATCATACAAGGTACATAAGATAGTCAGTCTATCAGCGTGCGCTCCGGGATTACATAAACCCTTATGTACCGTCATGATTTAGACTAGTTGGGGAATTAAATAATTTACATAACAAGTATTCTCTGGACGTTTTTGCTGGCACTGTTGACAGTTTTAGACGAGAAGTCTACAGCCTTGCTCAATTTGTTTTTTTTCAATTAAGTAATAGTGTATTTGGTAGTGAATGTGTAATAATGTAAGGTCTTCATGTAATGTTATATATAGTTTTTCTTTGTTTTTTATATAATGAACCGCTTTTTTTATGCATGCAGTCGGTACCTGTAATTGTGTTAGCATTTAGTGTGAAATCAATGTATATGATACCTGTAATGTTCTGTGCTGATGTATAACATGTTGGTACCCAATAAATAAAATAAAATAAAATAAAATAAAATAGTTAGTAGTTAAATAAACTATAAAACTATATTAAAAGTTTTCAGAGTACGGTCTTACTGAGTATCGATATCCATTTATGGATTTGATTATATTTCCTTAAAAATTACAGAATTGGGATTTCTGGAGTTTACACGTATGGTATTCAGTGTCTGAGTACCTGTGAGGGAAAATAAAAAAATTGGTCTCTAAAATGTTAGTTGTCTTCAACAGAGCGATGCTTTTCTTCTTGTAATCTGGTTATTACATTAAAATTATGCTTTATGAAGTGCAGGACTAGACTTGCGTATAGTTCTGAATAAACATTTTTTTTCCTGCCTAATCGTTGGTAGCCTAAGGACTAATTCAAGCACGCGCGGACCGGCATGTGAGCTCATCTGAGGTTTAACCTAAGAGGATTTCTAACACTGTACCTAGCAAGAGCATTGTTTCGGTGAATCTATTACCAGATCGGAATCTCGACCGAGAAACTCAGTGGGTTATGTCTATGGGCTAGTTCCCGCGTCGAACTCTTCATCGTAATCGACGAGTTCGACGAGGACGGTGTCCGTCGCTTGAAGAGCCTATAAGCATTGAAAGCGGATCCGGAGGATCCGACAATACATATATTGGGTGATGGCGGCGTTGCTTTGCCCCGTCGCCTGGGTCGTATATGTAATTAGCGGTGGCTAAGATAAGAGGGTTATCGTGTCAGGCCGCTTTTTTAAAGTAGCGTTCTGACGCTTCCTTAAGATACTTACGTATCGGTTATAGGTTTAGGTCGTCGTGAAGACCAACATTCCTCACATACCACGGTGCTAGGATATCCTGCAGAAACGGGATTGGATGACCTGGTTTGGTTTCCAGTTTTGGGCCGGGCTTGCCTAGAACCGGCGACTTATATTTGATTGCAAACAGAAGCGATTGTTTTATTTGTTCCTTTTTTTATTTGACGAGTCGTGTGAAACTCGGGCGTCTGCATGGACACGCAGAGATTTTGTTTTTCTTTATATTTATATCGCACGTCCCATCGCAGCGGTTTTGAGAAATTGTTTGAGGTGACTTCCCCTGTACTGTTCACCGTGCTTCGAGTAAAGTCTATACGTACTTTCTGGAACCAATGCTTCATTCACATGGTATTTCCAGTAACAATTTTTGCGACGTATCATGCAGCTTTAGAATTGACTATACCCTAATCGCCCGCGTGCATGTCATTGGTATTACTGTTATTATTATTACGTATCTTTGCCACCACTATGGCGATAGGATGTTTTGTGAGTGCGCACGGGTAGGTAGGTACCACCGCCCTGCCTATTTCTGCCGTGGAGCAGTAATGCGCTTCGGTTTGAAAGGTGGGGCAGCCGCTTACTGTTAAAAGTGAGACCTTATGACTCATGTCTCACGGTGGGTGGTGGCATTTACGTTGTAGATGTCTATGGGCTTCGGTAACCACTTAACATCAGGTGGGCCGTGAGCTTGTCCACCTATCTAAGCAATAAAAAATGAAAACATAATGACATATTATCTTTCGTGGTTTGAAGATACTACTTAACGATGAGGAGTGGTGCAACTTCAATCAAGTCCTTTTGGG